TAGTATAGTGTAGTGTAGTGTAGTGTAGTGTAGTGTAGTGTAGTCAATATGCATTTAGCAACATGTATGTACATGTAAAGTAAATAAATAATATAGAAGTTTGTATACAGTTAATAATAACATGCAGTTACATATACAATATATCTATATACATATATTATATTGAATATATATATATATATATATATATATATATATCATGTATATAAGATGATCTGTTTATTTATTTTATTAATCTGTCAACACGTTTTAGCCATCTTTCGTCTCAAACGATTTTCTTTGCTTATTTTGTGGGGCTGTATTTTCTTTTTTTGTTTGTTTTTTTGTAATTTTCATTTGAAGTTTGTTTTTTTCTTTTTGTTTGCTTTTTCAACTAGTTAATTACTTGCACACATTAAATTTTGACATATTTATGTACGTATGTATAATATATATATAAAAGTTATTCGTGTATTTGTTGTTTGCTGTTGTTGTTGTTGTTGTTGTTGTTGTTGTTGTTGTTGTATTTGTTGCTGTTGTTTGCTGATGTTGCTGCTGTTGAGGTTGAGGTTAAACCTTTAAGGAAATGGAAGCGGATGGATATATTATTTCTTCTTGTTGGTCGCCAACATTGGAGCGCTGCGCTGCGGTGTTGTTGGCCGAGATGAGTTGATGCCGCTGTACAAATACTTGGCCTTCTTTTCGGATGGCTTCAGTATCTGAAATGGTATAAATATATAAGATAAAAAGGTTGGACTATGTGTATGTGTGTATGTGTGTGCCCTACCTGGAATGAGCACATGAGCGTGTCGTCCACGGTCATCATGCCGCCAGCGTTATCGAATTCGCCGCAATAGTTTGGCGCCGAGAACAATGTGACCAGCTGACGGCGCGCAAAGAACTCGTAGCCATCCTCAACGACCTGTTAATGGTTGCGAGAGTTAACAGAGAGTTAACAGTAGATTGTTTGGATTTGCTAACCTGATGTGCACGACAAATCAAGTCCAGCTCGTGTCGATTCAAGAACTTGGAGACGACATCAACGCCAAAAGTGAAGCTAACGCCACGATCGTTTTCGCCCCAGCCCTGTACATCCTTGTCGGGATCACTCCACAGCAGGTCGCAGAGCAGCCCGGTGTCGGGCACATCTGTGGGACGCATCAGGCGACGGATCTGCTCCATGCCCTGCAGATCGGGACTGAGGCCACCATGGCAACAGAAGATCTTCTCATCAATAATCGCGGCCACTGGCAGACAGTTGAAACAATCTGTGAAGGTCTTCCATAGTTTAACATTGTAGCGACGCTTGCACTCGTCGTAAAAGCCTGAAATGTAGTTAAGTGGAAAATATTATAATAATTGTATTAAATGCTATCCACAATCAGTCCGAATGAGCTTTCATTTGCCACGTCCACAATAGATATGCGATTATTTCGGAAGATGGCTTATGTATTCATGTCCCATACGATCCATACGGTCAACATATGATCCACAGTAAAAAAAAAATGCTCCTCTTACGAGGTAAAAGCAATTGTAAGAATATACGATTTTGCATATACGATCCACATGCGATCCACATACGATCCACATATGCTCCACTTTCAGTCCACAATCCGAAAAGGATGTCCTCGGTCAGGAAAATGCGAATTTCGCATGCAACTCACATACAATCCACATAACATCCACAGCCAATTTACAGCTGTTTCGAATCATGCAACTGTCATGATTGTGCATTATAACATTTACCTGCAATTCACACTTACCATAAATTCTATTAATACTGGCGCACTCGTGATTGCCGCGCAACAAGAAGAAATTCTCCGGATATTTGATCTTGTAGGCCAACAGCAAACAGATCGTCTCCAGAGATTGCTTGCCACGATCCACATAGTCGCCGAGAAACAGATAATTGGCAGTCGGTGGAAAACCGCCATATTCGAATAGACGCAACAGATCTGTGTACTGGCCGTGTATATCGCCACAGATGATCAATGGCGCCTCCAGTTCCAGCAATATCGGCTGTTGCAAGAATATCTCGCGCGACTTCAAGCACAATCCGCGCACCTCCGCCTCCGTCATCTGCACCTGTTTACCGGTGCGGCAGCTGCGCACTGAAAGAGTTTGCCCCCAGAAAACCGAAATGTTAGTCAAATGTCGCAAAGTTAAAAAAGAAAATATATATGTACAGACGATAAAGTACACTAAACTCTAGCATAGTTCTGACAGGGGGGCGGGGCGTGGAGGGGGCGCAACAAATGCCTAGAACAACATTGGGAAAAAACTAATTTATCGACACTTTGTTTGGGTGGAAAACTTCTGCTGCTGTTGCAATGTTTGTTGCTGTTGTTGTTGCTGTTGTTGTTGTTGCTGTTGTTGTTAGTGGGTTGCCAAGCACAACAAAAGTAAAAAAAAAAAAATGGGAAAATCAAATGTTGCATACTTTGTGGCGCAAAGCGTGGGGACTATTATATATGAATGCGAATGTGCGGGGGCAGGCGGCGACCTTCGAAACACAAACAAAAAAGCGCAATGCGAGCTGCGATGCAGCGATGTGTGCGTGTGTGTGTGCGTGTGTGTGTGCGTGTGTGTGTGTGGGCCTTTGTCAGGCGTTCAGCTTCAACTATTTTGAGCGCTCACATGTCAACGCTTCAGGAATATTTCAGACACTAGAAAGCAACTCAATTGCATAAGCAACCAGTGAAGCCCAACAAGTGGGCGTGGCAGCGCCTACACACACACACACACACACACACAGTAACGCACAGTAACGCACACGCCCACACTTTGGGGGGTCGTTCCGCGTTGCGGCCCGGGCTGTCTCTCCATTCGCTGTCATTTACTTTGAAATTAATTTTTTGTGCACATGTTGCGGCGCCAAGGGAAACGGGAACGTGTCCCTGCGCTGGGCAGGCAAGTAGGTCACGCCCACACACACACACACACACACACATAGAACAACGAGAGAAAAAAATTAAATTAAATTTGCATACACAAAACGGACCGACAAAAAATATGAATTAAATAGTATATAAAAAGCACAAAGTGGGCGACCCACACGCTTGGCCTGAAGTGCAGCTCGAACTTGGCCACATTTCAACTGCAGCATAAAACCGCCCACGCACACACGCGCGCACACCCACACACGCGCGCACACCCACACACACACACCCCAAAAGCCGTCCAATGGCCAACCAGGGAGCAGCAGCAGGATTTTCCTATTTATAGTCGAATTTCTAGCTGGCGGCAGCTGCTGTCAAGTTCCTCAAAATGCTGCAATTGCAATTGCAGCAGCTGCGATTTCACAATTAATCATTGTGGGAATGTGCCAAAGGGCAAAGGTACAGCCAGCCAGAAAGTGAGAGAGAGAGAGAGAGAGAGGGGGGGGAAAGCGAAAGAGGGAGACAGACCTAACTTGCACACTTTGGTATTTGATTAATGCGCATTTATTTTCGACTGAGTTGATTTTACTTACTTAAATTACATTTGAATTTCAGCTTTGTGCATAAAGGCGCATTCCAATGGAATTCCAAATACGTTTGTTAATTTGCTTTGCCTTATTACAAGTCCTTTAACAAGTCCTTGCCTTGTTTGGCTTTTCATTTAACGAATTCCTCATACTCATACCCCTGCCTAGAAACTATCTGTGTATGTATGTATGTACATATATAAGGCGACATCTCCGACTATATAAGGTATATTTAGAGCTTGTCAGAGTCGGCCTTTATATCATATAAGTTAGTTGCCGGAGGAAACTACAACTACTACATATGATTCCATTTTGCACATATATATTCTAAATATTACATATTTTGGCTCAACTAATAATTTGATGCATACATACTTACATGCATGTATATGTGTATGTGTATATGTGTATGTATATTGATTTTGATTCGAATCGGTACCCAACACAATTTCACAGATCTGTGGGAAAAATCCACGGAAAATGCGAATGAGAGTTTATTTGTGGATCTTAAGCTTTGATTCTGCTGAACTGTTGGTTCGTTATTCGATGGAATTGAGCTGGGCAAAGCCGTAAAATACTCACTAGTATATCATAAGCCTCTACGGTTCGAATCGCTAGAGAAATGCGTTTTTGTATGGCTCGCAGTTATGCGCTTCACTATTCTCCAAACATCTACTAAATGGCTGCTATAAGTTTCAAAACTAACTCGTACCTCATCTATATTTCGCTCAGATCTGTTTTCACAACAACTTGCGGTTGTCGCCAGCCTAGGCTGAATTTGAATGTTGGCGCTTGGAAGTGGCTCAACTTTGAACCGGTTTGTCACCCCTTCACGTCAATTTGCATGCTCCTCCAACCGCTGGCCAAGTCAACAGACATCTGTCATCTGTCAACTCACATCTGCATATCGCGTTCTAGTTGCTTTTTGTCATCATTTCCGGTTGTCTGGCAGTCAGCACTTTAACTACATTACCCAGACGCTGTGCCAACCAATCTGGTAGCAGATGTTGTTAGCAGCGCTGCTGCACACATTTCGAATAAGGCTAAACACTAAATTATGCAGAGCACAAAGGTTTTACTACACCGGCATATGAGATTCGACTGAAGGAGACTCCGCCCGACTTCTGCCACGCTGCCTTCGCAGGACAACAAAAGCAGCAGCAGCAGCAGCAGCAGCAGCTGCTGCATACTTTTGGGCGCTGCATAATTCGTTGCCAAATCTGGCAGCCTCCACCTCCACTGGAGGACTATCGACTGACTGGCAAGTGGGTTTGCTCCACGCATAAATTATGCAACAGCTGCTCCACTTTGTCTTACTCTTTGTGTACGGTGTGTGTGTGTGTGTGCGTGTGTGTGTGTGTGCGTGTGCGTGTGTGTGTAAGTTATGTGCATAAAGTCACGAAAAGCTTAAAACCTGATTTAATCTGTGCAGCGCAGTGCATGATATGCAATACTATATGCCCTGTACTCATCAGAATATGTATTTTAAAAACAGGGTATACATCACAGTTGCGCAAATGTTTGTAACATTTTTGATTCTTGATCAATGTCAATGGCCCACGCCAGCTGCTTGCCGTGTTCTGCAAATCGAACAACATTCACTTTTTTGGTGCATAGAATCAAAATGATCAACTAAATGCGGCCTATCTAAATGGGCTATCGTTTATCATTTTCCCATTTTCGTACCATTTCGTAACATCGATAAATATCGATATCCACTGCCGAGTTTTCTGAGCATATTTCGCAGAATTTGTTAGCCAATTTGTTGGCATGACCAGAATATGGTGAAGGTGCCTAATTTGGGGCTTAGCTTAAGGTCTAGAAATTATGCCGATTCGATAGATTAAGGTCTAGCTTTTACGTTCATTTATTACCCGATTCGATAGCTTAGGATAGACAGATCCAAAATAGTTCACTTTCATTTCCTCATTTCCATTCATTCCAGTTGAATGTCAGCTTCAGCTTCAGCTTCACAGTTTTCAACTGGAGAAGCACATTCACCTAACCGCTTTCTTTGTCTCTTAGATAACACTTATCAATCGCCTTATCAATCAACCAGATGTATCAATCAGCTTTGGGCAGCGTGATTTGTGGACTGTGCGATCTATTTACAATTTTCTTTGTTGCAACAACAAATGTCCGACTTTAGGCCGCAACACTTTGACGCACATGTGACAGAGACGACAAGCGCCAAATGAGAGAGAAACATTGAAGGGTGGGGGGGGGGGGGGGGGGGGGGATTCTATTTTCTATTATTCTATTTTTTATCTCTATGCAAATGTCCGCAGTGCAACAACCCATCGTCAACCGCAAGGGGGAGGGTTCGAAGGGGGGGGTGAGGGGCACCAACGCACACCCGCTGGCGGCAGCCCAAGTGAACAGACAGACAGAAAAGCGGGGGCCGGCTGGGGCGTGTAGCTTGCCGCTTGACTGAGGTGGATAAGAAAAAAACATATATACATATGTATATATATAAAAATAAAAAGAGAAGAAAACTCTTATGCGTAAGCAAAAAAGACGCGCGTGTTTGTTTGTCATGCATTTTACATGAGAAACGAGAAACGAGCACGTGCCACCCCCAGCCCCAACCACAGCCCCAACCACAGCCCCAACCCCACCATTACCACACGCTCACGCGGCGCATGCATGTGTGCCCACACAGGTCCCTGTTGCCACTGACAGCCAGTCCCTCAGTCAGTCAGTCAGTCAGTCAGTCAGTCAGTCAGTCGGTCTGTCGGTCGGTTGGTAGTCAGACTAGTCTTCACTTTCCCCAGCGCTTTCCTTCAATTTGTTTTTTTTTTCTTTTCTGTGTCTAACTGGTTCATCATGATTAACAAACCCCCCCCCCCCCCTCCCCTCATCACACCCCTACCCGCGCAGCTGCACGACACAAATTAAAAATGTAGCAAATATTACACGTGCCGAGGCCTAAGGGCTGGGCGGCATGTGGGCGTGGCCAGCGCACAATGCAGCTGATGTTAGCTCAACTTATTCGCAGCGCTTTAAATAATGCAACGCACAGCGTTTAGTCGCACGAAATGAATAGAAAAGGCGCAGGTTATCCCAACACCGAACTGCCCATACACTAACTAATTACTTCACTTGGCAACAATTAAAAGCGAACTTAACTAAAGTCATTTAAATTTTAGCTAGATTTGATCTGCGATTTTTGTACTAAAGCTTACTTGTGAGTCGGTTAAAGCTTTGGTCAAGAGCCTTTGTGACTTTGCTGTCCGAGCGTCGAACCGACAAGCGGCAGGTCGCTGGTTCAAATTCAGCAGTAGCAGTAGACGCGAATTACACAAACAATTATAGAAATAAAAATTAAAACTTTTCTAAACTGTGAAACATTTAAGTTTTCTGTTCAATTAATTGCAGCTATTAAAAGGATATAATATATCTGAATATATGTATATATATTGAATATAAGGTCGCCAAAACCAGCGGTAAATATAAATATATTTAGTAAATATAGATTTATGAGTAGTAAATATATATTCCGAGCTGCTTAATTTAATTCCGAATACTAAATACCTCTTATCGCATTTCGACAACTGGACAACTTTATTAAAACTAAAGCATGACCTGCAGATATTTGTATTTTCTTATTTTATTAGCTATCTATCTATCTGTCTCTCGACCCTG